AATTGCGACCAAAGTCAAAAAAATTGAATTTTTGGGCGTAAATTTCCGTGGGTCCCGTTTTTATTACGGAAATTTACACCCGAAAAATTTCCTGATGTATATAATAATATATAATATATAAAATTAATAAATTTATCTATTGACTTTCTCTTTTATTTTCTCTTGCTCTTATTTCTCTTTTCGCTTCTTCTATATCTCTCATTCTTGCTTCTCTTCTTATTACTTCTTCTATTTCTCTCATTTCTTTTTCATCAACACTTGATATAGTTGAGTCACTTTTTAGCTCGTCTTCATCAGAATCTGACTCTCTCAAATCAAATTTTTCACCATTTTCCATTTTTTTTTATCAATATAAATTTTTTTTTAATATTAAAAATTAAAAAATTAAAAAAATTTGAATATTTTTAATACTTATTAGATTTCTTTTTAATCTCTTACATAAATATTTACTATTATTTTTAATATCTTCATTATTGGAGTTTAAAAAGTTTTCATATAATGTTATAACAAAAGTTACTTGTTCATTAGAAACTTTCAAGGTGTCCTCCTACACTTCGTTAATTATTTTCTCACATCAGGTTTTATCTTCATCGTTCATTATTTTTGAATGTAATTTTTTGTAACATTCTTTAACAATCAGTAACTCTTTCCAAGCTTTTATCTTACTTAGAGTTGCTTTTATATTTATTTTCAGGAAATTTCTAAATACAAAAAATATAGAATGTCTGATTTGAATAAATAGCACCCCTCTTTTGAACTGATGTTTTTCTTTTAATTTTAAAATAATCCAAAATCTTTTGTTAATTATTGAGATATCTAGATTATAATATATTCAGTAAAATTTACTTTTCCTTTAAGAATTAAATCATAATAAAATGTCCAGTGACTATTTTTTCAGCTTTCAAAAAGTTCTGAATATTTTTTTATTAAGTAACTTGTCACAGTTGCTTTAAGAGTATCATCATTCAGATATATGTTTTCGGTTAACTTGCTTGCAATTTCTTTAACAATTTTCTTTTTTTTCAAAATATTATAAGTGAAATAGTTTTTTTTATAAAAATAAATAAATAAAATAAAATATTTACTTTAATAAATGTTGAATTATACATATCATCGCTTTCTTTTATCATTTTATTTCTCTCCATCATTTTTTAAATGTTTAAAACTTCCTTTCAAAGGTCTCCAACTTCCTTGTCAATTTTTTTTAAATAATCTAATACACGATCTTACCTTCTTTTTCTTATTGACAGAGGTTCTTCTCCTAATAAAATAAATTATATATTGTAAAATATTAAAATTTTTTGAAATTTTTTGAAAATTACCATTGGAATACTGTTCTTTTCTTCCTTCTTCAGTCCTTCTTCTTTTAGTTATGCAAGTTAGTAGTAATTCCTATGATTCTTCATCAAATGGTCTTATTAATATATCCTCCATTTCATTTTCCCTCCTTTCTCTTATTAATGATGTTGATACTTCTACTACTGTCAGAGAGATGCTGTTACCGGAGTAGATGCTGTTGTCAATATCTCGCTTCTTTTTTTTACTCTTTCAAATAAAAGGTCAGAAATTCTTTTTTTATTTTTTTTTTTTTTGATAAAAGCAAATTAAAATTTTTTGACATTTTAAAAATTTTTAATAAGAATTTATTTTAATATTTATTTATTTGCAAATATTTTCAAAATTTTTATGGTAAAGTTAAAAGAATTTCAATTTTTTATATACATTTTTTAACCATCTCATTTTTTCAAATTTTAATAATATTTTGAATATTTTCTAAATGTTTCATTATATTTCATTTATTAATTCAAAATTACTAGTATTATTTTTCATTAAATATCAATCCCTCCTCCCTTCCTTCTTTTTGGAACACATCATGATATTAAATTCTGATTATCGCAAATTCTTAGGATATGTAATTACATAAAATTTAAAAATAAAAAGCAGTATTATCAAATATTTTCATATATGTAATAATATATTATAAACATTAATTATTATATGCAATTTCTCAATACATTAATTGTCTATTAATTAAATTCCTACATATTGAACTTTATGAAACTAATAATTAATAATAAAAAGAAAGAATTATTGAAGTAAAATAAAAAAATGAAATATTGCATTATATATATATAATATGAAACTTTATTGAATTTATATAATACAAGTTTTTATAGAACAAGTTTTTATCATACGAGACAATACATTTATAGAATAATGTAATTTAAAATAGAAACTTTATATAATACAAGTTTTTACAATACATTTAAAATATATATTTATTTACAAATATTGATTACATAAAGAAGATTATAAAAATGGAATCGATTTTATGGAAAATCAGATAATCCCAAAGAAATCCACTGAAGTAGTTAGATACCTAGGTGTTTGGATACAAGAAAATGGGAAAAAAACATATCAAAAAAGTCTAATAAAAGAAAAAGTTTTTAGGACCACATCCATAATAAATAGAAAACAACTCACTGATAAACAAAGTCGATACATCCTGAATCATGTTCTATTTCCTCAAATAGAATACTTAATGCAAGATTTGGTACATCCGGAAAAGACCTTGAGAAACTTAATGCTAAAATACAATCTTGTTTTCATCGCTCTTGTGGACATTCAGCTAAATTACCTACTAGCATACTATATTCATCATTAGGATATAAACTATTCAACCTACAAGATAGATAACTACAAGTACATACAACAGAAATAATAAATAGAATAAACAAGAAGGACCTAACTGGTTGGACAACCAAAGTACAAATTCAAAAGCTACAAGACTACATGTGGACCACACATCCGATATGGGAAAAAGAAACAATATTAAAGTTTAAAGCGAGAAACTGAATCTAACTGAGGAGATCATGAAATTATTAGCAGTAAATAATATTGAAATACAAACCAATAATGAACTAGAATTTCCCATCCTAATTAGAGGAGGAAACCTTAGATATTGAATCATTTATGAACTCAGAACTATGGTATCACAAACATCGAGATAGTTTAAAAAAATATGGAGTAA